TATTACGACTTCCCTTTCTTTGAGTATAACCCCGGTTAATTAGTGGTGGTAACAATCGGCTAAGAATATTATCTGTACCGAGGAAACTCTAAGATTAGGAACCAACACACAAACAATGTTAGTGTTTATATGTCGGAGGGCAGGTTCGTTGCCCTGTGTAAAAGAGCGAATTTGCTCAGATTGCCGATTATATACAATATTAAAAAATAATTATTATCAAGTTTCAAAATTTATCTGTTAAATAATCAATTAATTCCTGCACAATATACAGCAATTGTTTTTTGATTATTACTTTATTGAATTCTCATCGTTCCCTGAATATTCCCTTAAGTTAATTAATTTAATGTCTTTTAACTTATTCAATATCTTTCTAATCTAATATCTTTTTTAATTTATTCCTGCCCTTTTTTGGGTACAGATAATATTCTCAGTTCATATAAACGATTTCATATCTTAACAGCTATTTTTCTAGTTTTTATCTTAGACTGTAAAAAAGGAACTTGCAATCATACGTGGAGGGGAAGGTTTGCTTAAATAAGTATAATCAATTTATTTTTAATTATCTTATATCCATATAATCAATTTATTTTTCATTATCTTATATTTATTCAATCATATGATTCTAAGGAAATTGTATCTTCAATTTCTACATGTATTAATTATATTTGAGTAATCGCGATTATTTACGTTATTAATAAAAAAAGGATATATATAATATACTCGATAATTAAGAATTTACTTAAAATTTATCCGCCTTTGTTTAATAGAAAATTTTACATAAATGACAATTTGAATTTTCCCTCCTTAATATCTCCGCTTAGACACGTTAGGTTAGACTAGCATGAATTTTTAGTACAACCACGGAAGGTTAATGTTAGGTAACTACCTATCCTACCAAGTCACGTAGGGTTAGGTCGTTCTCAGGACCCTTGGGTGTCTTGAGCACTGCTCAAGTCGTTGACCCAGGAACTTCGCCTAAGAACGTGGTCGCTAACCCCAGTGCCTTGACTACTTGAGGATGCGTCGTCTCCACGCTTAAAGCGGTCGAGCACCAAAAGTCCAAGTAGGAACCGGTTAGTGGAAGGGTTACCTATTGGTGGTGTGCAAACTTACTTTTCAGCTCTTGGCCTTCGTACTCAGTTTTTATAACAATAATTTCAACATTCAGTAATTTGTAACAGATGGATGTTGATGTATGAACGTGAATTTTTTTTTGGGTAGTACAGCACACAGAATATATGTATCTGGAAATATTTAACATGTAAATTTGACAGCTTAATCAATAGCTTCGGAAAATAAGCACTTTGGCTTATCTAAATCATGACCAGTGCCCAAACAATACACAATATACCAACAATCCAAGTGCTGATTTATACATTT